CCGCCCATTTTGGGCCTAATTTCTAATTTACCCGGCTCCTGCCAGCTCACCATTACACTCCCCTCATTGGAAGTCCCACTCCCACCAGCTCCTATTCCAACCTCCATAAGCACTCCCCAGGAACACCCCAATTCTACCTTCTCTGCACTCCTAACCCTCGCTATTCCATAAGTCTCCACAAATTCCACCACCCCCAGATGGCAAACGCCTACTTCAAGCTCAGGTCTCAACCCACGCCAATCTCCTCACCCCCAGCTTCTATCACCTCTATCAGCCAGTCCTAGGTCCACCCCAAATTCCAGCCCCTTAATTAACAGCCCCCCTCCCCCAAGGTCCTATCCAACCGTGCAATCCTACTCTCTATTGAAATGATCTCCCTACCCCGCACCCCAGCTCGGATCCCAAACTGTCAACTGCTCCAGGCCAACCCCAAATCCACCACCCTCATTCAATCCCCTCCCCCATTAAAAGCCATCCCACTCCAGTCTCATCATCCAGCTCACCCCCAAACCATCCCAAATTCCACCCCGCCTCTCCCAACCCACGTTCCTGTCCCATGCCCGGTTATTCCCCATAAAAGTCCCCTTCTCCTGTTGCCCCCCAACCTGCTTGGGTCCCACCCTCACCCAACCCCCAGCCCGCGCCTGGACAAGTCTCCCCTGCCAGCCTGCCGTTCCATCGCGACCTCAACCCCCTTCCCCCAACCCGCGCTCACGCAGCCTCCCCTCTCATTCTCCCCAGTACCACCGGCCCAGGCTCAGGGCGAGCGGACCAGGGGGCGGTGGGGGTGGGGGAGGTCTCCTCACCAGAGAGCCGCTGCAGGCGAAAACGGCGACGGCGGTGGCTGAGGCGGCGATGCCCTTTTCTTCTCTGGAGGCTACAGAGGCGACGCTCTCGCTCCCTCGCCCGTGTCCAGTAAGGTGGCGGATGGCGCGCAGGGACCGGGATCCTCCTCCTCAGCGACTCGGCTCTGAATCCTCTGCAGTAGCCGCCGAGAAGCCCGACGGGTGGGGGGAGGGGACGCTCGGCTGCGGGCGAAGGAGGAGGAGGCGAAGGGAAGGGGCGGGGGACCTATAAGAAGGACGGGGAAGGAGGAGCCGGCGCAGCACCGCGACACGTCCCACAGCCTCAGAGTGCCGGGACCACAACTCCCGGCATGCCCTGCTTAGGACCGCGCGCGGCCTGCGCCTGCTGCCGCGCGCCCAATGCGGAGCGGCCGCGCCCTCCCCGGTCACGGACAATGGACTAAAGCCAACCATCCGCGGGCGGTTTTTGTAGACTCAAACACCACATGTGAAGCAAGTTAGGTCGCCCCGTGGCCCCATTATCCCCAGGTAGCGATGTTCTCAGTACCTCCAACCTCTTCGCGCGGGCGCGCGCACATACCTCCCCCCATCGCCACCGACGCTCGCTGGACTACATTTCCCAGCATGCCCCACAGTCCGCTGCCCTCTTTCCGGACCCTTCTCAAACGGGGTACTACAATTCCCAGGGAGGGTGGTCCCTGCGAAGTGCTGGGAGATGCAGTTCTCAGTTCTGCCTCCATGTTAACAAAAAGAAGTGAAGGAGAGGAAAAACAGAAGGAGTTTGCTAACCCACCGAAGAGAGGCCTAAATGAGCTAGGTCACCTGTGAGACTGTACTTTCTTCGCCATCCCGATTGCCACAGTCACACGCTAGAACTAACGCAGCAGCTTCCTCCTGGTCTTCCTGCAAATCTGAGGACGATTTGGCAACTTGAATCCAACTGTAAAAGGGCATAATTCTTGACCCACCTCTATTACTTTTAAAAATTTACCTTAAAAAGATAATAAGACAATTTGGAAAAGATGAATGCACAAGGTTGTTATATAAGGTTCTTGATTATAGGGGGGGAAAACGTAAATGTCCATCAACAGGCTGATTAAATTATATAGAGAAACAATGCAGTACTAAGCAGCCATTTAAAATAATGATATAGATCTATTTACTGACATGAAAAGCTCTTCACATTTTATTCTCAAGGGAAAAATATTGATTACAGAATAGCATGTTTAGAATAGTCCAACTTAGGTGAAATTTGAGATAATATTCTATAATCATAGATTTCAGGAAAGAGGTTCCCTAAAATATTATCAGTGATTATCTTGGAGGAAAGGGTTTCAAGTAATTATTATTTTCACATTGCCTGAATTGTTTAAAGGGGACACATAAATTTTTAAGCCATAAGACTATTTCCAAAAATACAATTTCCAAATCCAACAACCTCTCCTTGCTGCCTAAAAGCTTTCTATGGCTTCCTATTGCCCTCAGTGAAGCTCCAGGACACTGCCTGTCTGGCTTTTCTTGTGAGCTCAACAGTTTCACCATTAAAATAATAACGGTCACTTAAAATTCATAAAAGACCATTAAATTAGAAGGGAGATTTTTTTTCAGTTTTCATTGTCTGTTTTCAAATTTTTCCTTCTGGTCTTTCCACATCCATTTCCTCCTTATCTCCTACTCATCTTGAAACTCAAGACAAAGACCTGCCTTTCCTAGAACAAATTTTAGGCACGCTTATTTTACTTATATCTGAATTCATATAGCAGTGATTTCTAATCTGTGGGCCAGAGATCACTGTGGGAAGGGGAAAAGGAGGGAGGATCGAAATTATTGTAAAGAGTCTACAAAGCTTCACTTAAAAAAAGCATTATCTATAGGCTAAAAAAATGTCTTACACTTAAAAAAAATTTTTTCCGGGCCAGTCGAGTGGCGCATTGGTTAGGAGTTGGCTTGGGACGCCAGCTCTGAGCAGCAGGGCCCCGGTTCGGATCCCACATGAGGGCCAGTGATTCTGTGCCCTCTACAGCTAAGACGGTGAACAACAACTCGACCTGGAGTTGGGCTGCCGTGAGTCGCCCGCCACTGCATAGGCTGCAGTGGGGCTGGCCGGCAGTGGGCGTAAGCTTTCATGAGCTGCCATGAGCGGCCATCCAATGGCCAGTGAGCGACTGCCTCTCCCTGAAAGAGTGCAATGATAATACCAACATGAGCCAGTGAAGCGCCATCCTCCACAACTAGACTAAAGAATAAAAGGACAGCAACTTGTCTGTTCCCCTCCCCCAATTCCCCAATAATAAAATCTGAAGGAAAAAAAAATTTTTCCTTTCTGTGTCCAGCTCTCCTAGAATATGAAATATGGTATCAGAAGATCTCTGATTTAGCATAAATCCTGTACTCAGTTACAGTATTTTATATTTCATATGTCCTTATTCCTGAGTGTTGTGTAAGAAACACCAGAACATTTGAGATCCACTAGCCAGCCCACTGGAGAACTGCAGGGCTACAGGAGAAAGCCCAGGTTGCCTAGATTAGAGTTTAACAGTCCTGCAGCCAATCCTTCAGTTTCACACCACCTAAATCTAATTACATTCCTATCCCTTAGGACTCCCTTTCTCAAAGGGACTTTTTCAAATTGCGTATCTAATTTTTTCATCCTATTCTCCCAGGCTTAAAATCCCACCTCCACCCCCTAAAAATATCCTATTCCTCTGCTCTCTTTTCTGAGAATAGTAAGGAAAGTATCTACGACATGGCGGCTATGCCCGCTTCCCCTCTGATTTGCACTGGCCATCCCGTTCTCTTAAACCCTCTTCACTCCTCCTCCTCCTTTCCCTGCTCTCCTACTGACAGAAAGTGGGGGCTGAGTGATCAAAACTAGAAGGGTTCTGGTCTGTTCTGCAAGTAAAGGATTATCTGAGTTACAGGAATAGGTATGAGGAAGCTTACTGAACTAGGCATCTGGGAATCAGATCCTAAATGAGACATTGCCATGGACATGCTGGGTGACCTTTGGTAAATCCCTTAACTTTTCTGAATCTCAGTGTTTACATCTGCCAATAGGAGGAATGATTCCTGCCATGTCACCTCATAAGGTTATTTAGGAAAATCCAATAAAACAACATTTATAAAAGTGTTTTGAAGATTGTTAAAGCCTTCATAGTCCAACGATTATAGTCCAAAGCCTTCATCTAATTTGAGAATTCTCTCTCCAAATCCCTGCCATGTCTTGGCATGTAAACTCTTTACTCAAAATTATATCATTATTAATGAATTTATTGAACTATTTAAGAAATTAACTCCATTAAGCCAATTAAATTTCTTGATAATTTTCTACATAGCACAATTTCTAACTTTTCTAGATTTTTTTCTATATTGAATTTTCATCTAGATACATGCTTTTCTTTATCAATTTTACAAGAAAGATTTAATTCATCAGTTATCTTTATCAATTTTTACGGATTATTGTTTCAGCTGTTATGACATTTGTACTCATTATTTCCACCACGTCCACCTTTTCCTGGGAGCTATTTAAGCCATTGTCAGTTTTATTCTGTGTTGATTATTTCTACCAAGTGGAATTTCCCCAGGGGTCAACTTTGCAATGTTCAATGTTACCATCAAAGAAGGGGTCATTCAGTTTGCTTTTCCATCCATAATAAATTTTTACCACGTGTAGTTTTAGCCATTGTCAGTTTTATTTTGTGTTGATTATTCCTACCACATCCAATTTTTTTCAGCAACCCAACTAAAACAAACTCAGGGACAAAATGACAATGTCAAAACACTATCCTTTGCCTGTTACTATCTGATTAACGAGGACTGTGAGATGGTTTTGTCCCAGCTATGTTAATGAGTTGGCTTTGAACTCTCTTAAAGCATCTCTTTAGGAACCTTGGCACACGTGCGGGCTAGAGTATTACTTTAAGAATTGCTTTAGAATTGCAGGAAAATGGACATTAGAGACCATGTTAGGAGAACCAATCTTTAATGAGCCAGGTGCTGTGCTGGTGTCTAAGATCCATTATCTCAGTTAATCCTTCAGCCTAAATGTCTTTCATGTGACCATTTTATAGTAAAGGAAATTGAGACCCAGAGAGAGGAAGGCCAAGTTAGGATCAGAAACCAGACCCTGTTTTAATTCTCAGTGCAATTTGAATGATTCTAAGTTCCAAAGTTAACTAAATTAATTTTTAAACTTTTGCAATAATCTTGCTAAAAAATTAAATTATTATTTTTGAGTTTAAGATATGAAACAAGAAAAATACATGCAGATAAAACATTCTCGAAGATCTTTTTGTGTAGCAAATGAGACAAGCAGGGTAAAAAGGTTTTGTATGACCCAACACCAGGCAAATGAAAGTTACTGTCATTTTTGATGATGAAGTCTGTTATGTAAACCTGCTATGCGCTTGACAGAGTGCTAGAAAACTAATAACACACTACTAATTTTCAATAGTTGGGTATCAAATACCCATCATAATATTTAACTCTAATAGCCAATATTAAAGGAATAAGATTGCACCCTGCCTATCCTTTAAGATGTAAATCAGGCATCTGGAAGCCTCCCTGACACCGCGGCCGCGCCCTCCCCGGTCACGGACAATGGACTAAAGCCAACCATCCGCGGGCGGTTTTTGTAGACTCAAACACCACATGTGAAGCAAGTTAGNCCACCCCTGCTTAGGTTAGGAGCCCACTCAGCTCTCACAGCCTGTTATATTCATTGTCTATTTACTGCCCTCAAGCACAACAACCAAGGTGATCTGGCCCACCTCTGTGGTCAGAGCTCAGTTCAGCCCAGAGCTTCTCACAGGATAAGGCTTCAGTAAGTGGTGGTTGAATTAATTAATCAACCAAGTAACATGACAAGTATATAGACTATATAGATAATCAATTAAAATGACAAGGAAAATACCTCAATAAAGCTGAAAAAGTTTTAATGACAAAGGCAAAGTGCATATTAAATAAAGTTAAGAGCAAAATTAATCACAAATCTGCACGAACTGATGACCGCGGCCTAAGCTCCTATTAGCAGCAGCAGTACAAGTATGAGGAAAGAGCCTTAATGTCCTGGGTTCAAATCCCACCACAGCCAGGATTGGGTGTCCTCAGTCAAGTCAATTCCTCTCCTGAACCTGTTTCCGTATCCATAAAATGGCTGACCTTGCAGAACTCCCAAAGCAGATAAAAGAGTTAATTAAGGTACCAGATACTTTTCATGTTTTGAGGAGCTGACAGAAGTGAGTGTTGTTACTAATAAAGGTAAGAAGAGAATTGGGAGGGAAGTTTACCTTTAGGAGGATCCTTTACATAAATTATG